AAAAAAAAAAAGTCTTATACCTAGGTCCCCTAGGAATTAACTTTTTTATCCTGGGGAAAAAGACTTGACTATCCACTCTATCAATGCCTCTCATAATTTTATAAACATATATCAGGCCACCCTCAGCCTTCAATGTTCAAGCAAAAACAAAATAAGCTTGTCCAATTTCTCCTCATAAATAATACCCTCCATACCAGGCAACATCCTGGTAAACCTTTTCTGTATCCTGTCCAAAACCTCTGCATCCTTCTGGTAGTATGATGACCAAAACTTGAAGCAGTATTCTAAACGTAGTCTAACTGAAGTTCCATATAGTTGCAATCTGACTTGCCAGATGAAGGTAAGCATACCATTTGTTACTTGACCACCTTACCCACTTGTGTTGCCACTTTTAGGGAACTGTAGACTTGTACACCTAGATCCTTCTGTATGTTAAATCTTCTAAAGGTTCGACCGTTTACTATGTACTTAGCTTCTGTATTAGAGGAACGTATCACTTTGTATTTATCCAGATTAAATTCCACCTGCCATCTGTGTTTGTACCTAAACTACAAGTGCTGCAGAGGTTTAAGAAAGCAACTCATTACCATCACCTCCAGGGCATTTGGAGCGGGCAATAAATGCTGACCTAGCCAGGGCTGCTGACATTCCATGAATGAATAAAACTATTGTCTTGTACCTTATAGTTGGCTGACAGGACTGGGGAGTCAGAAAGTAAGTTACTCTCTGCAGAATTCCAACCTCAGATCTCCTTTTGTATGAATGTATTTAAAAGTTTTCAACCACGGTCCCTTCCTTCTGCTCATTCATATATTGATCCTCAGTGCAATTATCCATAGGTATGGTTTTCCATGTGGGCTTTCCACCCTTTGCTCCAACAATTGACTCTCTGACACAAGACTGCCTGTTCAAGATCAAATTAAACATTCCACAGTTACTGTGAAGCCAACAGCATTGCATTTAGTCCTCTTTATAAAGTGAATACCCGTGCACTTTTACCAGTTCCATTCCCATGGCTTCTTCAAGCTGCAGAAGACCTGCTTGATTGGAGCTGGCTGTCAAACACCACCAATTTATTTCTGCCCCTGGAACACACTTTTCTTTGGCTGCTACCTTTACCCTAACTGCAGAAAAATCCCTTTTCCACAGTTTTGACTTGTCCTCATTTTTGGCAAAACTACACCTTTTCCAAGCATCAGAAGACCTGTTCCATACTACTCCATAGTTATGCCACGCTACTTCCTGGTTGCCCATTACATCAATAATTACTAACCTACATTGAATTCTGCTTACCATATATGTTTTAAAACCTGCATTGTTGCCTACAAATTGCTCAATGGCTTTGTCTCATCATCCTTGATTGATTGCTTCCATAAATTAAATCCATTCAATCCAACAACTCCATTCTGTGCCTTCCATTACCCCTTGACTGATTTCTCTCACTCTCACTCTGTCTGTCCCTCCATACACCATTTCATTCCATCATCAGCTGTCTTGGACACATCTCTGAAATCTTTCCACAAACCTTCTACTTGGCATTCTATATTTCCATCTTTAAATAAGATCTCAAAGTGCGTCAATTTGACAAGGCCTATAGTAGCTTTTCCTAAATGCTGTAATTATAATCTTGTGTTTATTTGCTTCTCTATGAAAAGCTGTGGGTTGTTTTCCCATGTTAACGGAAAAATGCTGTTGCTGTTGCAATCATTCCTGTGGAATTTTATTTCTTTACTTAGGGTAAATAGACCTCTATTTGATGTATCGTCATTAGATTGATACAGCTGAAACTGCAGATTCGTAGGAACTTGAGTAACCCTAATGTGAATCTAACTTGGCCATTTCCATTCAGCATGAAGCATTTGTACTAAAGAAATTAGTTATCTCATGAAATTGGTCTTGCGATACCGTCACAAATGTTCATAAAATTTCAGGTTTTAATTTGGCTGTTGTCTACCCATGAGTTAGTGGTATAACAAACCAATTTTTAAAAATTAGTATTTGAAAGATAAACTTGAACAACTTACTCCCAATACCAAATTAGAACCCATCATACCTATATTTGTGGAATTATATTACTTGATTAATGGGGTGATATCAATCAACCACATGCAGTTAAGAATCAAATTACAAAATTATAGAGCTTAAAATGCTGCAATTTGAATAATTTATTTTAGACAATTTGGAGATAGTGGCAAGATCTATTCTACACATTGTTTGCAGTAGTCATTTTGACAAAATTGAATATCAAATTAGTGCTATTACTTCGCTTCTAAAACATTTTAAACTGTTATTCAGTAGTGATATTTATTCATCCCATTTTTGTGTTTTCTTTCTTAATGTGTTCTTTTTATTTTTTTAAAACTAGTGTTTCCCTGCCATTCTGTGGTCATCCAGCTTATCCTTGCCGTTTTCAAAATCATATTGCTCAAGCCCAGAACTGTATTCCTTACCGTGTCTTTGCGCCTGAATACCTGAAAGTAAGGAGCCAAGAAGTTCTACTCCCACTCATGGCACAGTGCCTTTCAGCAGCTCATTGTGTCCTGGGCACTCACCCTTTCTCCAGGGTTGATGTGTTGATAGTCCCTGCTAGCTTTTCTAGTCTGGGAATGGCTAGGTAAGTTTGTTGTTTTCATAATTTGATTGGTACTCAAGTTATTGGCACTTGTCTATAAACATGAAAATATGCTTTTATATAAAGAAGCTGCTCATCGCTTTAAAATTTGTATCAGAAAACTTCTTAAAAATGTAGTGTGAACTCCACTATTTATATATTGATCCCCTTCTCCGAACTAAATACCAGAGCACAATTAATTCAATTTGTTAGATTCATAAAAGTGCTCTGAAATTTGAAGTAGATTGCTGGGAAAGGAATTCCTTAGAGTTACTGTCATATCTGTCATAAATTGTGTCTTTTGGACATAGTCTTAACTGTGTCCCAAAAGGTATTTGGTAGACCTGTTGTGTCCAACAATATGTGTGTTTGAAATAAAGTCGGATGTTCCTCAGATCAGCATGAACCAGATCTTTGCTTTTATGTATACTGCAGCAGAATAACAGTGATGATAGAAACAAACTTGTATTCATTCTTTAAATTATTCACTAGATGCTTGCTTATTTATAATGTACAATTGACCACTTGGGGCTTAAAATATTGAATATGTTTTAAATGAAAATGGAAGAGAAAAGCTACTGTAGGCATGGTATGATTTTCTTTATGTAGTATGATTATAACTTACAACATTTATTCCAGCAGCCATTAGTTTTCTAATTGCACAATATTAAAAGAATTTGTGATGGCTATGAAGAGCATCACCTACATTAAAGCTGGTCAACTATATCTGAATTGAAAATAATGGTGTAACCTCTTTCTTAGAATGTCACCTTGACTTACTATAGTTTCTTTTCTTTAGATTGTGGAAAGCCTGTACTTGTAGTATATTCTGTTTTTAGTTTCTGCAGTTTTCTCCATATCCCACATGCAGAATTATTTTTGCTGTTTGTTACAACCTAAGTAGGAAGGATGGACTGATTCCTTCCCTTGTCTCCCTCCTCCACAGGCCACAACAGAGTTTGAATTTCAAAGAAACATGATGTAAACAATTATATATTAAACTGTATATAACTTTGTATCAGAAATAAGATAGCCAGGTTCCTTAAATTAACACATAAAGAACTAATTTATTGCAAAAAACCTTAATTTTTGCATCTATGCTTGATTAATAATAAAAGTTTATAACGTACAGTGATATCCACATACCCTTCTACAAAAGTATCCCTTTCCATCACATAATTGTCTAAATGCTGGGCTGTAGCTGAAGTCATTTTCCACACAGGTTGTTGGTACTTGTGTTACCTTCTGGATCAGTTATGCTGGCTGAAATCTCTTTTTCTGGAGACAGTGGTGTAAATTCAGACCTCTGTCAAGAATTTTCCACTTGCAATGATTAAACGTTCCAGTGAGATATTACCTCTGTGGTTAGAACTTTCCAACTGTGTTCAATGTAATATTTTACATCCACAAAATTGGTCATGTGTTTATCGTGAGATTATCTTTCCACAACTTTGCCACTTTGCTGAAAGGGCATAGGGCAATTCTTTCTCTAGGAGGCAACAAATTTCCAGTTGATGCTCTTTATTGCTTGTTAAATGGTTTGTTAACAGCCCAACTCTCCATGGGTTGCGATCTTATCAAACTTGATATACAAACCAGCTGCTGGGAAAACTCTAAATGGAAGGCATCTCACTGCTTACTCCAGGAGATCTTTATTGGTCACGGACAAACTGGAGAGCAGGACACAATCCACCAACACCAGCTGCATGTGTCCTTCACTATGGACAGTGACACTCCACTTTCAGGAAGGCATTGCCACCATTATAGCATCCTCCAGTACACTGGCACTGTGCTTTGCAAGGACAAATTTGTCTAGGAGAGCACACTGGCAGCTAGCAATGTATGGCTTCATTGGGTATAGGTGTTGCATAGGGGAAGGAACTCATGACGCTGTGTGGGACAGGCTGTCTTCCAGAGATGTTCCCTCACCTTCTCAGGGGCCAGTCTGGGGAGGAAGATTATTACAGTTGGGAAAGTGTCTCCACCAGCGAGGATTTTAGACAGTGGAGGTTGCTGGCAGGTTCAGGCCATTGACCGGGATGGTGGCTCATGGTTTTTAAGTCACCTCTGTTCACAAAAATTAAGGGGGAAAGGGGTTCTTGGGGAAGGGGTGCTGGGGAAGTTAGGGGCGTGGTGGAGGCAGGTAGGCAGTTGCCATTGCATGTGTGTGGCTTGCATGACGATCTGGTGAATTATGAAACCTTTCGGATTAATAGAGCGGTACCTTAGAAATGAGAGCCTGATGTTGGAAGTATCAGCAGCACATTAACACTGAGGTTGAAAGCTACAAGCAGAGGGCCACTCATTGTCATGCCACTCCTGAAGTACGTGGTAGTGTATAATATTGAGGAGAACAGCTGCAAGTGGACTCTCAGTAGGCAGGTAAGTGAGTGGGGGAGGAGGCTGCATCTGCAGCCAGTCACAGGGCCTTCACAGGGGGCAACATTGTCCTCCGAAGCAGGATATGTTGGACAGGTGTGCAAGATGCCTAGCCCCTGGCCATTCTGCAGCATTGACTGTTCCTGTCACCATTACTGATGGGAACTCCAAGGTACACTCTCCTGCATAATGATGGGGGAGGGCGATGAAGATGTTGGATTGAGCTGATGTCATGTACATGCATCACTGCTGTTGTTCTCATGTTGTATTTGGTGATCATTGCAGAACTCCCCAGCCATTGTGCGTCATTAACAAGCACATGAATGGAGGAACAAGGGTTTATGAAATGTTAAAAATTTGCTTACATTCCATTGGTTGTACAAGAAACTTTAGACATAAATGTTTTCTAAATAAACTGTGGACATAACATTGTATGGTAAATAAACTACTTACATCAGATATAACGATCAATAACTATGTACAAGTGTGCCAGTTGTCGCCAAAACGTGACATTATCACATTTGTCACCCCCTGCCTGTAAGGTATGACTCAGCCCTGTTATGGGAAGTCTTCTCCTGTAATGACATAAAGGAGGTGAATGAGTAAGATGCAAGTGAGTAGCAAGGCTGTTAGGGTTGGTGTATGGGGAGAAAGGGGTCTCAATATTCCAAGGAAGTGAGGAGACATCATGGAGGTTATGCAGTGTTAGTGGTGTGGGAGATGGAGGGTAACAAGAGTGAGTGAGGGCAAGAGTTGCATGTAACGCAGGGTGTCAGAGCATAAGCATTGGTGGGAGGTTGTTGCAGTGGCACAAATAAGTGTGAGGGAGCAGAGTGTTGCACTTACCCTGGTGGAGTGGAGAAGATCATGAGTTTATTTTTGCACTGTTACCCAGTTTCCCCATGAGAGGTGGTATTGATCTGGATGCCAGTTTCCAACCACTGGCATGATATATTGGTATGACCTCCTCTGCCCGGTCTTCAGAAAAACCACTTCTCTCCACTCTAGCACCCTGTCCACAAGGATGTCCCAGTCCCTGTCTGAGAAGCATGGTGCCAGCTTCCCCTTCTCAGCTGTGTCTCCTGACACGATACAGCTGAGCAGCACGGCATGCAGATGGAAGCACTCCTGGAGGTGCACAGCTTGCTTTGGAAGATGGTATGACTGCAAAGAATGCTGGTATTGAGGAGCACCCGGCAGTGAGAGGTGAAATCCTTGCTGAATGGAGCATGATAACATAATATAGAAATAGAGCATGATTCCCAAACATCCATCACATTCAAATATTAATGTTTTTAAATAACTGGTAGATTCAACAGGAAAAAGGTGAATCAGCCACACCCCAGCTTAGAGTCTACAGGTGTGAGGCTGGAAAAGCACAGCAGGTCAGACAGCATCAGAGGGGCAGGAAAGAAAGTCAATGTTTCAGGTCAAAACCCTTCATCAGGACTGGGGAGGGGGAGGGGAGCCTAGAAATAAATAGAGGGAGGGGTGGTGGGCCCTGGGGAAGGGTGGGAGAGATGGTGATAGGTGGATGCAGGTAGGGGGTTATTGTGATTGGTCTGTGGGAAGGGTGGAGTGGATAGGAGGAGACAACTGGTGGAGTTGCAATGGGAGGGAGGAGGAAAACGTCTTCAAAGTGGACATCCTTAGAAGAGACTTCGCAGTGTTGGTTTTCAGTGAGTTGGAGTCACCATCTCTCCTACCCTTCCCCCCAGCCCCACCCCCACCCCCCTCCCTGTATTTATTTTCCCTCCCCCTCCCCAGTCCTGATGAAGTGTTTCGGCCCGAAACGTTGACCTGCCTGCTCCTCTGATGCTGTCTGATGGTCTGTGCTTTTCCAGCCTCTCACCTGTAGACTCTGGCTTCCTGCACCTGCAGTCCTTATTGTCTCCACATCCCAATTTAGGCTGGAGCTGGCAGACCTGCTGCAACTCCCCTCTGGCAATTGCTGGCTGGCTAATCAGTTTTTTGAAGAGATGTTGAGTAAGTTGGTCCTGTATTCATTGGTGTTTAGAAGAATGAAGGGTGAACTTATTGAAACATACAAGATTCTAAGGGGACTTGAAAGGTAGATGTGAAAAAGTTGTTTCTCCCTGTCAGAGAGTCTAGGACCAGAGGGCATAATCTTAGAATAAGGCATTGCATATTTAAATCAAAGATGAGGAGGAATTTCTTCTCTCAGACGGTAGTGAATCTGGAATT